CACAGGGAGAGGGAGGAGGAACCATTTGGGGGGGGAGGGGGGGGCCGGCCGAGCCGGGATCATATATATATATATATATATATATATGGTGTCAAGAGAGTCTTGCGCAGTCCCCATGAAAGGAAGCACGGCCTCATCTCACACAACCTCGATCTAGAGGATGGCACACTAGCTCGGCAAACCCGGCCATGCATGTTACGACACAGTGCCATGCCGGAGCCTGTGAAGCTGTGCCAGCTGACCTCGACATCAAGCGTTCCCAGTCCCGCCTCCCACCCCCGCGTCTCGATGGTTCGGGTCGGTCCGTGCAGAGTACCGCAAATGCTCAAAGCCAAGGGAGCTAAACGAAACCATCAATGCGGACCAGCATCAGAAGCACATAAGCACATGTTCACTTGCAACTTCGATGTTGCGCAGAAGTGCATTGCAGCTTCTCCGCTGAGAGGTCGGATGCTAAAGTACTAAGTACTGTCGTCATATCAGCTACGGGGGGGGGTACGGTTAAATGTGCCATACACTGTGATGTCATACATGGTGAGTATGGGGACGGCAGCTTGCACTGTGAAACCAAAAACCTAGACAGGAAAAACGCATGCGCATCTGATTCCAGATCCTCACAGCGCTTCCTGAAGAACCTCCATATTACCCAAGTTTGTGGAGAAATCGCTGCCCGCATCAATCTCGCCAATGTCACGGTCCAGACCCATGGTTGGGTTGATAAGCAAGGCCTTCTGCTTCTCCTTGGTCACATCCTCCAAAATATCCACGAAGTTGGTATGAAAATCCACTAAGTAAATATCATTCACGTCTTCGCCGAAAGGGTTTTCTAGCTCTTTGGCCACCTCGTTCAGGCACCAAAGGCAAGCATAAAGGAAAAAACACAGGATGGGCCCGACCAACCCGCCGGTGAATACCACGACGTACACTGGAATGAGGACAGAGAAGGAAGCCAGCAGCAAGCCCAACAACTGGGCAAAGGGCAAAGGGAAGGGCACATCGGCGATCTTGAGACAGTTGTTAAAACCGAGCATGCCATTTGAGAGCTCCTGGTACATTCGGGACTGAATGGGAGGAGCAACATCAATGTGTCTCATGGCATCAGCAAGATCCCAGATGATCCAATACATCACCGTCGCCACTGGGTCGTAGGACTGCTCCAAAAGCTCAAGCTGCTCACGGGATGGTTTCTCGAATACCACATACACACTTTCATTGGGAGCATGGCGATCGAAGTGCTTCCACTCAACCATATGTGGCATATCGAACAGCTTCATTTCCTTCTGGATGCGCATGGCTCCTCGTGTCTTCGCCCACTTTGACCTGATATCTTCTATCAGCTGGTTGTCCCCAGTATGCAGCCGATCCGCAGCAAGCATGCTGAGAATGGCGAAGTTGGTCTTCAACCTTCTCTGCTTCAGTTGGAGGCATTCGACCTTCTTGCCGTCTCCCTTGCTCACTGCGGCCAAGCGCGAGATCTCGGCGAAAGCCTGGAACTGCGCGAAAGTATCCGTCCATTTGCTGTACATGTTGTGAAGCTGGGTAACAGCCTCCCAATACCTGTTCCAAGCAAGCTGTGTCCTAAACACAATAGCGAAGGTCACACCAGCACCTAAAGCCTGGAAGCCATAGTGGTGCAGCACTGATGGCGCCCATTCCGACTCTATGTCCCTGAGATACTGAGTCAATATACCAAGCAGTGCAATCAACAAACTCCCAATCATGGTATCGCACCGATAGAAGACACTCCCATGTAATTGCAGAAGAAGCCAGAAGCTACTCTTGTTGTAGTAGAGCAACATGGCGTCAAACACGAGATGGCACAACCATGTTCAGGTTGCCAGTGAAAATTCCCAGGGCTCTGGTGAAACGAAGGGCCGCCCCAGTTACTCGTCACAACTTAGACTGTGGATGCGGAAGGGAGGCTGGTGCACCTACATGTGCACAGAGGGCCATACGAGAGTGTAAATGTACGTCCACGTGCTTCTGCAACGATCAACAACAATGGGTCGATAGATAAGCAGGCCGATAGGTGTACAGATAAAATCACGGGCCTAGGTGCGAGCGTGGGGTCTAGAATGCATTCATAATCATTTACATGCTTTTGTGAACCGAAAACTGCACCACAGACGGCTGAAGGGCAGCAGCCTTCAGGCAAGGGAAGACAAAGCACTGGGAACTCAGCTACTCCTGAAGCCAAAGCGTTAGCGGATTGCGGTGTCGCACATAACAGGAGAAGCCTGAAGCAAGTGGTAGACATACAAGGAGCTCGCCACTGCAGTTTCGTGTGCGCGTGCCGAGAACATTCTGTGACGTAGGATTCTGGTGATCATGATCGGAATCTTCGTAAGATCCGACTCTTGGGCCCATGCGGCACAAGTGCAGCAGCTGCCAGTGCCTCTTACAGCTGTCTGATGCACCAGACACAATGCAGAGGGTGACTGAATCACGCACCCTGTTTGCGGGGACGCTCCAAGCCCCCCGAACATTCCCTGACCCTGTAGGTGCAGGGTACCGTCTGGTGACTAGGCAAGCTATCATAGAGTCATAGAGCACACGACCAAAAGCCCAGCTCTGCAACCACACGCTCATGGGCGCAGCCACCCACTCACGCATGCAGGCACGCCGCACATGCACTGTGACACCCTGGTGAGCCGCCACCTGCTGGCCATACATCCTCGCCGTGTTGCCGTGGTGGTCTCGTAACTCCACGATCCTTTGAAGATTCCAACACAAACATGCGAAATTTCCTGCGGTTTCTGCCTTGTGCGAGGACATGCATGCAGTCCGAATTGGTTCTGATGCTGCTGTAACATTGTAGCCTCCAAGCCCCTTACGATACAGATACCTCCTCGCATACCTTCTTGGCATCCGGCTGCTTCCCAGCGCGTGCAGACAGCCAACTCAGCACCTCGCAGCAGCTCGGGCACGGCACAGCTTCCACAGCAAGCGAACTTGCGCTTCACTGTCCTGGATGCAGGAAGCACCCCTACCACAGCTGCACAAGCCTGACAGTTATCGCACAGTGCAGCTTGGGATGCCGTCTGTCAAAGTTGGACCCTCTGCTCGACATCCATCCTCCGGTTATGTTGATAGTGAGGTCGTGCTACACATCGGTGACCCTCGACGACCCTTGAGAGAACCCCCTCTGTCTCGATCCCGTGGCCTCCTGAAAACCGGCGCGGCCAGCCAAGTGCAAGGCACTCCTTGCATCTGCATAACCCCAAACTGAAGCACTCCAAATGTCTCTAGACCCCAAATCCGAATAGAGAGGATGGAGCTTTGAACCCAGGCAGGACCTGAACTTTGGGTGAGTTCAGGCTGTGACTTGCAGAACACCACTCAGAAAAAGCTAGGTCACCGGCTGCCCCTTGCGATTCAGAGTGCTTACCTCCAGGGCTTATACTGCCGGGAGAGTGCGAGGTGGGATCGAGACAGGAAGGCAGGACGGGAAGTAATGTAGGGGCCTTAATAATTAGAATAGGGTTTAAGGGGTTATTAGACTCTAATTATAATAAGGAAGCTAGTATGGTAATTATTAAGGCCCCTATATTAGCAGGTGTGAGCAGTGTTGAGCCCATAAAGGACAGCGAAAATTGCCCGAGTTCCCGTGTTGATCTGCAACAAACCGGCTATAGAAAGTACATACATATGTATAAAGGGAGATGTGTAGATATATACATATATATATATATATTATACAGAATCACACTGTATGTACCTGTGTATATATATATAGCATAGAGAGCGAAGTGTCTGTGTAGTAGTGTATGATGTAGAGAGAGAGTGAGAGAATCGTTTGTATGTTTAGAAAGAGGTGGAGATATTCAAGAAAGGCGCGTGCATCTTATGGCTACAGCCCCTGGCTGTGGAGGAAGGACCAGAGTCGAAGCCTCCGCCTTCCGCTCGACAAGCAGTCGGCAGATCTCCCTGGCTGGCCTTGGACGGAAGACCAAAGGCACAGATCTCAAAGTTTTCCTCCTCAGAGGTGTGTAGCATTAACGCTCTCACGCTCGGACTCGCCCAATGAGGTTTTGCTTGAAGCTCGCTTTGGATTTCTGCACAATTGCTTGAGCTCCTTTTGGTTTAGACTGGTTTAAGGCTGGGACCATGGTTTGGGGGCTTTCGGCTCATGCAACTTGGCAGGATGTCCCTATTCACTGTTTTTGATTGGACCGGTAATAGGGGTGAGGGGGCCGGCGTGTACCACGGAAATCCTGCAAAGCCCTTCTGACGATTTTCGGACCGCTGCCAGCCGCTTCGGTTCACTTCCCAGGAATTCTGCGGCGTGCAGCCGTAGATGCGCAGCAGACCCTCATCCTCAGCACCTTGATGCGGGAAGGCGTGGGCTTCGAAACAGCTTAGAAGCTGCCCATCAAATCCAACGCTATCGCAACGGCAGGAATAATTCAATCCAGAGGAAGTACTGACTGCTGCCACGAGGCTGTTGAAGCAGGCGAGTGCCTCAGGACGTGTCAGCGACTAGTCCGCCTTGCGACTCGTAACCCACTGCTGTATTCACGGTGTTCAGCATCATACTTCAAGGATCAATAACTTTGTAAATAAGCGCTAACCGGGGCTTTAGGCACAGCAGCCTATATCTAGATGTCTAAATATCTATCCAAGTAAGTGGCATCTGTATCTATATCTACCTCTATATTCATATATCTTTGTACTTACATACATACATACACACAT